CATTTGGTTATSTTCTTTTTCGATAATTCATAGTCTTCATATTTATATGTTGAAAGTTAGGTATTGTTATATCCTTCCCACAGAAGTGTTTATATTGATTGTATATTGATGATGATATCTTTCAATTTGCTGTTTGATATCCAATGATAACATTAGCAATACCACCAAGATCTCTGAGATATACACAAAAAAATAGACTCGTAATAACATTGCCACTTGTTGATATGCATGCTTACTGACAATGTTCTTTATTAGGAATCAAGGTCTTGGGCCATAACTTATTSCAGGTAAACTAAAAAGCCATCTTGGATTATTGTCCTATTTCTAGAGAATAGTACAACTTTGGGCAACCTGTTTAGTACTGGCCAGCTGAGGGGACTAGGATGATTTCTTGAAGACATGAGAAAGAAATGGATGAAATCCTAACTATAATCGAGATACACACAAACATGTGAAATAACTAGTCCCAGTCCACTTAGCCAGTGCTACACAGTTAGCCCAAGGTTGTAATATATTCTAAATTCATTCAATGGTGATTTAGGGAATGCGACATGATATTTGGGAGTAGTTTATACTTTCATGGTCATTGTATAATGAATAGCATATGGTAGATGGATAACAATAAGACATTTTTACATCTTGTTTGTATTGTGCTCTTCACTTCCCAATAATACACGTATTTCCCATGTAATTTCCTGTTTCCCACATGTATCAACATTGAATGGAATGATAACATCCAGTAGTGGTAAATGATGACTATACTTCGCATAGTTCACTCTGAATTCAAGTGAAGAAGTGAAAGTATTAGCTCTAACTGATTCCACCTTGATTCATTTACAATCATATACCACTGCATATATCATCGCATTTTAATCACATGTATTTTGCCATGTCACAGAGCTAAACTAAGAAAGRATTGGTTGAATTTCATTGGAATTACCTAGTAATGGTTAGTAGACTTCAATGTTAAGTGTTGTTTTAATGATGTGGTGTATGATGATTTATTTAGCATAGTTCACTCTGAATTTCATGAAGAAGTGAAAGCAATATCTCTGATTCCACTTGAMATTCATTAATGGATCACAGAAAAAATATCAATCCCTTACCTGAAATTGTCTTTTTTTATTGATTTGTCAGGTTCTAACCTTGAGATAACTGGATATCATCAAGATATACCATATACATGTYGTCTATTGGTGAGTAAGACTTTTAACACGTCAATTGTTATCTTAATCAAGTGGTTGAGTGATGACAAAAGAAACAACTCTTTTGCTGTCTGACAAAAGTGATGACAAAGTTTCGCCCCTAACTGATACCATTCATGATAAAACATTTGTCATGAGAATATTTCAATGTACTTTTGAYAATGCTCTATTTTTATTCTTTTAGTCTGATAAACGTATTCTGCACTGCAAGTAGACAAAGTGGACTTCAAAGTAAGTAAGGTGTTTTTTATTTTGGTGGTATATTTTCAGTGGTAAATGATGTTTTGTAAAAGCATAGTTCATCTGAAACATAATGAAGCCAATTTCAAATACATTCTGATACCAGTTTGTAATAAGAATTTAGTATGCTCACATTGCCATTGTTTTATTGACCAGTATTATGTTGATTTATTTCCAGACTGTATATATATGCTTGGGTACATTGTCTACTGCTAAGAACTAACTTACCTCTACATGTAAGTAGCCAATATTTTGCTGATATTATACTATTTTTATAGTATTATGTACTAAGCAGTAATTTGAAAAAATTCTGACTGTCGACATGCCATCATCAGATGCATCATGGGTAATTTTTAATATGATTCTTTGCTCACTTCGCACTAAACAAGATTGCAAATCAATCAAATTTTGAAATTAATAATCCTTTTTCTGGGTTATTGATGATATGGATAGAATCCTCAGCATCCAACCTACTGAAACATAGGATGGTGAGGAACAATGAATATTTTGATATCAAAACATATTCTACAGTTTGAAGACAAATAAATGGTTTAACTTTGAATATATTGTTGTTATATTTTAGTGGTCAGAATTTCTTCAAATGACTTTATATGGATATAATAGTAAAGTACCAAACATACAAATGATGATTCTCAGTTAGGGACACCTGATCCACTAAGTGGTGTGATTAGAAAATACTGGGTTATTCTYACTGATGTATGTCAAAAATGCCACTAAATGGATACTAGTAACTGTGAAATTCTTCAATCTTTGACATCATTTCCCTTGCGATTTCAGGAGTCTATCACTGTACAATATTCATTGGTCATTTGTTGGAGAAACAGAGTATGTTTCATGGTAAGATTGTATTACTAACATTTTTTTTAGATCTGAATTTATAGACAAAGGCTATTCTATTAATTGTTTTGCTGTTATATGGCATGCACTACTATGAATGGAGTGCTCCATTACATAGTCACAGTGGAGAGGCTGCGTGATGCGTGACCAAAACTAAACACGGCTGCGAGGAGACTATCCATTACATGGTTCTAAAGTTAATCATGAATGTTCCAGTTTATCATAATTATTTTTTAGATATGAGTGAGGTCGATGATGTTAAACCATAATATTTGCTACTCTTGAAGCACTTAATGATGATACAATCCAAATGACTGAGACCATCCACTCGATTTCCATCTTTCTTTCTTTCTTCTTACGACAAATATCACTAAATTGTATACTTTTGAATTTTAGGTTTTGAAGAGGATACTCTCCCCATCTCACTTGTTAATYCAACTCTTACGACAAAAGAAATTAAATAAAGATAATTATTATACAAATAAATATTAGTTATAACATYCCATTTAAGAAACAATTAAATTTGTGAAATATGTCACTAAAATCCATTATAGTCACTTATGTAGTTTGAAGTCTACTCTGCAAAAAAACAAATACACCAGACTGCAATTGTGTGGTTGCTACATTTTAAAGTCGTCACCTCTGAAGCTGCATTTTGTTCAAGTGTCGAAATTTTACTATAAATTGTGAATAGTGAATAAAGTTTGAAAAACCATGAAATACCTCATTTGTAATTTCTCACTTTCGCTAAGCTCAATTGCGAGAGATCGCTACACTAACTCGAGAGAGATATTCTCAACATAGTTAATATTGTTTATGTTCTCACCACTCGAAGGTAAATCCGTATCGCCGCGCGCAGATGTAATATCCTCTAATTTTGAATTGTTACGGACAGAATGTTCGACAAAAATTCCTTTGTGACATTGGTTCTATTGGGTGAACATGTTGAAAACATGAATGGGAAAGCAATGAAAGCATTCAGGGAAGACATCATTTTTTGAGTGCAATAATAATGAAAGCGCGCAAATGAGCGTGGTTTAACGCTCTGAAGTGCAACGTTTTTGCGATGTAAAAACAAGATAAGCAACTGAGAGTTTTTCAAATGTCTTTGAACTGATACAAACTCCRAATATAGTGATAGTCATCCTTTACAAATTCAATTTCCTTACGATCGGAGCTACAATATCCTGGAGCTCTTGCTTCTTGTTTTTTAGATCATCCGTTGTCAGGTTATGATTAACATCGTGCATCCATTTGATTGTTGAACTCACTGCGTTAAAAATTGTCTGTCTGTCCTCGGGGGAAATCTCGCGACCTTTCTTTCCAATGAGAATGTCATGTTTAATCCAGTACGTGTAATTTTCAAGTTCTTCCATTGCGATTCCTCTTTCGCTCTGAGCTGTGGGAGTGTCGTGTAAGGTTTGGTTGCCATTTTCAGCCTTGACYAAGRSTAAACAGGTTAAAGTCATGACACACAGCACTTGAAAATCCTTCATATTGTATGGTTGCTTAAGAAGCCGATAATTTGTTRAGGAGGACACTCTTATAAAGCGGAGTTTTAAGAAGTAAGTCTCCTGACAAAGTGAACAGGTAATTTCTTGCTATGGAATATTTCAATTAACCCTGTTAAAATCGTTTAAAGATTTTTCTCAGCAGGTATTTCAAAAGAAATATGCGAAAATTGAATAAAAAAGGTCACCGTTGGTTCAATGCTTCGCTGGTAAGACGTACCCTCGGCTACGCACCGTTGCTTTGCCTTCATTAACTTTTTATCGGCTTTCGAACATTTTAGAACAATGTTACGAGMGAAAATGGTTGAAAATGACGCTGAGTCACTTCAAAGTTACAATACATTACTTTTTTTAGCATAGAAATGTTTCGGGCGTGTCTGCGCATAGAATGATGGAAGATTACTTTTTTTGCATATCAGACTTTTCACCGTGACTTAATYACAACTATAGAAAACTTTTTTCCTTCAAAATTTTTAATTTATTTCTCTTTAGTTAATCTCTCGATAATAAGCCTTCGCGGCCGGCCTTTTTTTGTAGTTCGGTTAGAGCAAATTGCTAGAACGTCTGCTAAGTCGCCAAAGCGTACCTGTTGGTTACAATACGACAATACTAGAAGAAACGTTACAGATTGGATGTCATTTTATACACATTTTTACAAAAAAAAACGTCTTTCATACTTGCTTATGGTCACTTTTAAATAATGCCATTTAACAAGAACAGAAGAATTCCTTTCTCACTTTCTCCAATGCTTTAGTTCCAATGCTTCTATCTTCTGTCTGGACCTTCTTCGATATAGCTTGCTTTGTTAGATAGAGATTCCAGTGTGCAGTCGTGAGTTCAGTGATATTGTGAAGAATAGTAAGACTCCTCTAATTCATACAAAGTAACTGCCATGTCTTCTTTCAAACTCATGAGTTGTTTGTCTGTTTGTTGTTGTATTGTTGTCAATCTTGCCGTTCTGTCTGATATACTGGCATTGACTGAWGGGAAGTCATTCAGAATTAAGAATTCTTTTATGTCGGATACTAGTTTCATCAAAGATTCTCCTGCTCTTACCTAAAAAGAAGAAAAGCATTATCATTACTTTATAATAATATTACATAGTAGAACATAGTATTACAAAACAGTAAATTATACTATCTTGCTGGCGGATTCAGAAAGAGGGGTTGTTGGGAATTGCCTCTATGATGAATGTTTCATTGTGACATGTCAAATCTGTTTTTCTCATCATCATCACCACTATTATCATCATCATCATTATCCTATTGTTGCCACCATCATCATCATCACTAGAATCAAATATCCCAACAATTGTAATCAAAAATTTGGCATTATTCAATCACAACACTCATGGTATTTCTTGTCGTATAATCATCATGCATTATCATCATAATCTATCATCAATATTACCATCTTATTAATGTTGTCATATTACCAACTTACTATATTTGCCGCACGGACATTTGATTCATACTGGTATTGTACAACTTGTGTGACACGRGATACCTGTGTTTCATCTTCAACCTTGAATGAACATTTTTATAACATAAGCTTACAAATGTACAACAACAACAAAGCAGAAAGTACCAGAAGGGTAGCATGCTATAACTTTCACAATAAGTTATAATATCAAGCTTTTGATATATCATGTTTTACCTTGGAACATTTGAGGATTTCTGTGAAGTTGTCAAGAATCGATTTTACATCGTCTTTTAACCGTTTMGTGTAYGATTTCAGCAAAGTTTCTTTRCTTTGMGGGAGYGCRCGACTAGGTTGTGACATATCGTCTGTCTTGGCTTGATAATRTAGTTAGATCGTAAMAGAAATTGTTGTCAATATTTGTTCGAATCAAAATCACTCAGAAAATCACTTGTCCRCCATCTTTGAATCGCGGTCGCATTGAATCATGGGARTGGAATAAATTTCCCGGCGTGCAATGCCGTCCTAGGCCTCTTCGCCGCCATCTGTAAAAATGGTAAGAACTTCTATAGAGGTTGTGGAAATTATCCAGATATATCTCKTCCATCTCCCAATATTTTTATAATTTAACAGAGCAAAATGAAATAAAGATATATCACTTKCTATTTACCATTATCATTTGCTGTTCGTACGGCTTTTGAGAAGTRTAATTTSYCGTCGATTTCAATGTTATGGCTYCCACAGAAGTSCCTTGTTCACATTTCGTGTGAATCGTACTATTTTCACGTGGAGCCATGACGTGACAACTAAACGCAGAGCTCTTATGCATTTCGGTAAATCTTTCCAAAGAAAATACACTCTCATCAAAAKGYCTATTAYTTCTTGCCGAATATTCACCAACTTYCAAAAACTGTTTTCTTTCGATCAGAGACGATTGTTGTTCCATTGCTGTGCCAAACTTTAAAATCAAATTGAAAAGTTCAATAATAATGTATACTAGTATTATGATTTGTGTTTTGTTGGTACTCTAATCCTAATAAAAATCTAATTCGATATTATATCGAAAATTGGATTCTCAATGTAATGTGTGTCCAAAATTRATGGRAAAATGATWACATATGAGWATACAARATCTGTTGCAYTGTCCTGCTACASGWCTTYACTACTCAGCCCTAATCTTTTCTTGATACAATGCTGKGYAGTCKTAGAATGCTGTACTTKATACTGACATATTTTGTATTTTTAGCCTAAAACCAAGAGGGTCAAGGTAAAGAAGGTGGCTCCTGCCCCTTATGCAACATCAAAGCCAGTCCCAAAAAAGACTGTGAACCCATTAATTGAGAAGAGGCCTAAGAACTTTGGAATTGGTAAGATATTAGTTTAGGCTTCCTCCATMTTGATGTATTTTCATGACTTGTTTGCATTYGTTCTACTCTAGAAAATAATCCTTTAAATATAATGCTACGAAATCACATTGATGTGGGGGAGACATTTATATCACTAAGTTCTTTTCCAATCATATTGAATCCAGTTTCTTCTTCTGCTACTTGTAKTGTAAACTTAAGCTTAAAAACTAGTCAAACTTTAACTTTCTTGGAAATTTTGTCCACCCTATTGTTATCTACAATTATTTTGCACTGCTTTATTTGTTGAACAACTTTATCACTTGACTGAAGTCCATGTTTATATACATTATATACACCAAATAAAAAGCAACACTTTAAAATGTTATTTCATTTGATTAAAGGTGGTGACATCCAGCCCAAGAGGGATCTCAGCAGGTTTGTGCGATGGCCAAGATACATCAGACTACAGCGACAAAAGTCAATCCTTTACCAACGTCTTAAGGTTCCCCCAGCCATCAATCAATTTACACAAACGCTGGACAGATCAGCTGGTAAGTGTCCTTTTGTGTGATATTCATTKTTATAGGAGCATAGCTGTGTCTGTTATAGGGAATATTGTATATTGAACGACGATAGAACCTATTCTTTTGCCAAAAAGTAGCATACAAAGTTTCTACTATGTATAGTGGTCAGAACTTTTTTAACAAAATATGGATCTGACCCATAAATATCTGGAATATTTACGTGGGCTTCCTGTGGAAGTCCACGTCTTAAAATGCAACTGGCGATTTCGTCGTGGTCGTCGTGGTGGTGAATATTACGCTTCAAATTGGTATCGTATCGATAGCGCATGCGTTACAGTCTAAGTTTCCATGGAGATGTCAAAATAAACCAATCAGCGATTTTTGGTAGCGCCTGCGTTGCAGATGGACTGCAGTCTCAGAATGAAAACAAAATGGCTGACAGACGGCGGCAAAAAGTTGTCTCGTTTCAAATGGTTCTAAAATGTAGCTAAAATGCTCTAAAGAGCTGAAAATCTTACAAAATCAACTGATTACCATCCAAACGACATGGATTGAGGTATATAATTCAAGATTAGCGGATGATTCGTGCAGAAATGACTGGGCATTTTCTACTGCCGACTCGAAGAGCAGTTCTTCTTCGTCACACAAGTGTTCGATGTCAAACACAAAATCTTCAAAAATAAGATATCGCATGGATATTTAAGGTTCATACTTTGACAGAAAACAATCATTCGATGGAATAAAGCATATCAAACCTCATCTGAAAAATATTGATGCCATTTTCTAAACTAACGATGTGTTTGAATTTCGAAAACTGCACG